TGGTGGTGATCCTAGCAGTTACACTAACTTCATATTATATGATAAACGATATCACATTATTATCTTAAATAATTTATTTAAAAACTGTGGAGAGATTTTCGGACACATACATTTCAAGTACACATGTTTCATGTTATAGAAGGAAGTAGGTTCCACGAGTGTGGGCGTGGACTGAAATCAACGGCTACCAACTGAGTAGGAAGAAAGTAAATGAAAAAGGTAGTCACTCACCACCCTCTGATGATTTCCGTGACGCAAAAGATTTGTTCTGCATCAGGTTACGACGACGCGTGATTGGGTTTCCTCTTCTGCACCAAACACACTACCGCACTGTACAACAGTGGCACCACCCACAAAAAAAAACTATGTTTAATAATGTAACAAAACAAACAAACAAAAGTTAACGTGATCAAAACCGGAATACTTTGGCTACACACTATGTCAGAATTGTCTGCGCCATGCCATGTTTTTACCATGGACCCTTTTTACATCGGGACCCACCATCAAGAGGTTAAAATATTGCGACATGATATGGTTGTTGAATTGAAGATGAGATTGCGCACAGATTAACATTGCCCACACATATCCCGATGCGTAGATAACCGCCGTTTGGTAAGGTTTCGGTTTCCATCGTGGTTTAGATCAACGGTTTCTCGCTCCAACTCGATCCAACCAGAGAACGCCACGTCATGAAGATTTACATGGTGGAATGGAAATATAACGTAGGGAGGTGGGCCCCATGGAAAAGGACCTTGTCGGGTGGTTAACTTAACCGCGGTGTAACGGAAAGACACCCCCTGCAAACGGCGTCTCTTTTTCTTGCTTTTGCCCCCCCATGAAATCATCACTACCACCACCACCACTCACTACTGCACTGTCTCTCGTACAGTGAAGTTGAAAGAGAACGTTGCGAGTTAACCCACCCTGTCCCCCACTGCTTCTTCGCTTTTGTTTTCCGCTTTACCATTTCCTCACTGTTGCCAACACGCTGCACTGTTGTTCTTCCAAACCAATGTGCCTGAGATCTGCGTGAGATTTCCGGGGAACCATGGGGAGCGTTTCGTCTGAAGACGGTTCCGACCAGCAGAGCGACCGCTGCGGCAGCTACAGCCTCAGCGCTGACGTCAGCGAGTCCGAGAGCTGCGGAAGCTTCTCCGCCCGCCGCTTCGACGCCGAGGGAGCTTCCAGCTCGGCCAACCTCTCGCCGCGTCCCGTCGCGTCTCACTTCAACTTCCCGCCTCCGCAGGTAATGCTTCCCGTTATTGGCGGCAAGGACGTCGTCGTTTGGGATCACAAGCGCGACCTCGATCTGTCGGGTAATCCTCCTCTCCCTTCTTCGGGAGTCACTTTATCTTTTGATTGAGAGTGAAGGAAAGCGAGAGTGTGGGTTATTGAGAGCGATTTCTTTCTTTTTTTTTTTTTTTGCAGAAGTGGAAATGATGAAGGAGCGGTTCGCTAAGCTGCTTCTCGGAGAAGACATGTCTGGTGGTGGAAAGGGAGTGTGCACTGCGCTTGCTATCTCCAATGCTATAACTAATCTCTCTGGTTAGTTACTCTGCCTTGTCTTAATTGGTTTGTTTAATGCCTTGGATGAATTTTGAGAAGAAAGTAGTAAGATGTTTTAAATGAATTGAATTAAGCTGAAATTAATTAATGAATTAAGCTTGGGAAGTAGTTTGTCCGGAGTTTATATGAAATCGAAGTGCCCAGTGCTTATGGATAATATTTTTGGAATGGAGCCTAAAAGTGAACACTCAAGGTTTGTGAAATGTGTGTTTTGATGGTAATTGCAGCAACTGTGTTTGGCGAACTGTGGAGGTTGGAGCCGCTGGCACCGCAGAAGAAGGCAATGTGGCGTAGGGAAATGGAGTGGCTGCTGTGTGTTAGTGATTCCATCGTGGAGCTGGTGCCATCTGTGCAGCAGTTTCCTGGGGGTGGAACCTACGAGGTGATGGCGACGCGTCCTCGCTCGGATTTGTACATCAATCTTCCGGCTCTGAAGAAGCTTGATGGGATGCTGCTCGGTATGCTTGACGGGTTTCATGACACGCAATTTTGGTATGTTGACCGGGGCATCATATTGGCTGATTCCAAGGATTGTGATGCCTACGGTAGACCATCGGTTAGGCAGGAGGAGAAATGGTGGCTTCCCTCTCCCAAGTTACCCCCAAATGGCTTGTCCGAGGAAAATAGGAAAAGGTTACAGCAATGCAGGGATTGCACTAATCAGATACTAAAAGCTGCTGTNTTCTACTCTGTTTGTTTATCATTTTTGCTTCACAAAAAGTATTTATATAAGTTAAGATCAGACGAAAAAGAAAATAGCTAATCTCACAAAACAGCAGTTAATATTTTATAAAATTTTAAAAACAGATAAATAAAAATAACTTTTTCCTTATTTTTTATGACGATCTGGAAATTGGTCTTTGTAATTTACGTGATCCTATTTTGGCTTCCATTCACGAATTTGTGTCCAATATTTGAAAATTATAGCAACTTAATCGAAGTAACACTCACGATTATTCAGTATGGTCCATGGAGTGATAAACTATGTAAAAAAGAAGCTTAAGTGATTTTGGCTTGAAAATACGGAACTATGCGTACACGTTATCTATATAAATTATTGTTTCAAACTGGCCATGTTCAAATTTTATTGAACTTAATCTCTCAAATTCACTTTGTAATAATGCGTAGGCTGTACACAATAATGTCTATGCATTATTTGGGAGTTTTAGAGTACATAAGAATTCAAATTTTAAGTTGTTTAGGACATCTCTTCATATTTCATTTATTTGTTTGATCATTCAACATTGTCCAGATCGACACGTAATGTTTTAGGACAACCTTGACATTGAAATCAGTATACATGTTTCAGATCATAGAATAATAAATCTATATTGAATTATAAATCTAAGAAATGTAATATTTTGAAATTTTGGTCAAATTTAAATAAATATAAAATCTAAAAATTAAAATACGATTGAAATAATATTTATAAACATATTTGAATAACTACAGTTATAGATCTATTAGATTAAAGACTTAATGGTTAATTACATGTGGAAAACTACAATTATTTTTTACTAGATTATCTAATATGAAAATATCTTTGACAGATATACTTTAGTAATACAACTGTGAATATCCGATTTGATAATCCATCCTCAGAGAGTATTTGGTGGTGATCCTAGCAGTTACACTAACTTCATATTATATGATAAACGATATCACATTATTATCTTAAATAATTTATTTAAAAACTGTGGAGAGATTTTCGGACACATACATTTCAAGTACACATGTTTCATGTTATAGAAGGAAGTAGGTTCCACGAGTGTGGGCGTGGACTGAAATCAACGGCTACCAACTGAGTAGGAAGAAAGTAAATGAAAAAGGTAGTCACTCACCACCCTCTGATGATTTCCGTGACGCAAAAGATTTGTTCTGCATCAGGTTACGACGACGCGTGATTGGGTTTCCTCTTCTGCACCAAACACACTACCGCACTGTACAACAGTGGCACCACCCACAAAAAAAAACTATGTTTAATAATGTAACAAAACAAACAAACAAAAGTTAACGTGATCAAAACCGGAATACTTTGGCTACACACTATGTCAGAATTGTCTGCGCCATGCCATGTTTTTACCATGGACCCTTTTTACATCGGGACCCACCATCAAGAGGTTAAAATATTGCGACATGATATGGTTGTTGAATTGAAGATGAGATTGCGCACAGATTAACATTGCCCACACATATCCCGATGCGTAGATAACCGCCGTTTGGTAAGGTTTCGGTTTCCATCGTGGTTTAGATCAACGGTTTCTCGCTCCAACTCGATCCAACCAGAGAACGCCACGTCATGAAGATTTACATGGTGGAATGGAAATATAACGTAGGGAGGTGGGCCCCATGGAAAAGGACCTTGTCGGGTGGTTAACTTAACCGCGGTGTAACGGAAAGACACCCCCTGCAAACGGCGTCTCTTTTTCTTGCTTTTGCCCCCCCATGAAATCATCACTACCACCACCACCACTCACTACTGCACTGTCTCTCGTACAGTGAAGTTGAAAGAGAACGTTGCGAGTTAACCCACCCTGTCCCCCACTGCTTCTTCGCTTTTGTTTTCCGCTTTACCATTTCCTCACTGTTGCCAACACGCTGCACTGTTGTTCTTCCAAACCAATGTGCCTGAGATCTGCGTGAGATTTCCGGGGAACCATGGGGAGCGTTTCGTCTGAAGACGGTTCCGACCAGCAGAGCGACCGCTGCGGCAGCTACAGCCTCAGCGCTGACGTCAGCGAGTCCGAGAGCTGCGGAAGCTTCTCCGCCCGCCGCTTCGACGCCGAGGGAGCTTCCAGCTCGGCCAACCTCTCGCCGCGTCCCGTCGCGTCTCACTTCAACTTCCCGCCTCCGCAGGTAATGCTTCCCGTTATTGGCGGCAAGGACGTCGTCGTTTGGGATCACAAGCGCGACCTCGATCTGTCGGGTAATCCTCCTCTCCCTTCTTCGGGAGTCACTTTATCTTTTGATTGAGAGTGAAGGAAAGCGAGAGTGTGGGTTATTGAGAGCGATTTCTTTCTTTTTTTTTTTTTTTGCAGAAGTGGAAATGATGAAGGAGCGGTTCGCTAAGCTGCTTCTCGGAGAAGACATGTCTGGTGGTGGAAAGGGAGTGTGCACTGCGCTTGCTATCTCCAATGCTATAACTAATCTCTCTGGTTAGTTACTCTGCCTTGTCTTAATTGGTTTGTTTAATGCCTTGGATGAATTTTGAGAAGAAAGTAGTAAGATGTTTTAAATGAATTGAATTAAGCTGAAATTAATTAATGAATTAAGCTTGGGAAGTAGTTTGTCCGGAGTTTATATGAAATCGAAGTGCCCAGTGCTTATGGATAATATTTTTGGAATGGAGCCTAAAAGTGAACACTCAAGGTTTGTGAAATGTGTGTTTTGATGGTAATTGCAGCAACTGTGTTTGGCGAACTGTGGANCATCTATTGACATATGATTTTTATTATCTCAGAAACTTCAAGGTGTTCTAGATTTTGGACATAGACTTCCGTTGCCTCAAGCTGTTCTTATCAACGGTCGTCCAAACGGCACAACATTCACAATCGAACAAGGTATGCCTATTTGTTTTCCCTTACAGATTGTTGTTTTGTTTAAGGTTGTTGAGTTTTGTATGATAATGTTTATTTTTCCATCTCTTATAACAGGGAAGACATACAGGCTTAGAATATCAAATGTTGGACTTGAAAACACTCTCAACTTCAGGATCGAAGGCCACAGCATGAAGTTGGTGGAAGTTGAGGGAACTCACACCATCCAAACCAAGTATTCCTCGTTAGATGTTCATGTGGGACAGTCTTATTCTGTGCTTATCACAGCCGATCAAGCGCCAAAGGACTACTACATTGCAGTGTCCACTCGTTTCACTGACAAAATCATCACGAGCACTGCCATCCTTCACTACAGTAACTCCCAACAATCTGTTTCTGGCACAATCCCTGGTGGCCCAACCGATCAGATCAATTGGTCCATCGAACAAGCTCGTTCGATCAGGTACTTAATTCTCTTCATTACCACATTCACAATGCATACATCCAATTCTCACTCTTCATTTTCTTGGCTCACATTCAACGTTTGCAATTTATAGGACAAACTTGACAGCAAGTGGACCAAGGCCAAATCCTCAAGGCTCTTACCATTACGGTTTGATTAACATCAGTAGGACAATTACATTGTCGAGCTCAGCGGCACAAGTCAATAAGAAACAGAGATATGCAGTGAACAGTGTGTCGTTCGTACCAGCTGACACTCCTTTGAAGCTCGCCGATTACTTCAAGATTGGTGGGGTTTTCAAAGTTGGAAGCATTCCCGATACCCCTTCTCGTAAACCCATGTATCTTGACACCTCAGTCATGGGTGCCGATTTTCGAGCATTCGTTGAGATCGTGTTTCAGAACAACGAGAACATTGTCCAGAGCTGGCACATCGACGGATACTCCTTCTGGGTTGTAGGGTGAGTTCTCACATTCATATCCATCACTCTCAATTTAATAAGTTCACTTCATATCACTGAAATTTTAACGTGGCCTTCATTTTGTTTCAGAATGGATGGTGGTGTGTGGACAGCTAAAAGTCGAAACGAGTACAACCTCAGAGATGCAGTGTCAAGGAGCACGACACAGGTTAGTAACTTGGTACTTAACTGAATTTGGTTGGTCGGTCGGTCTTTTTTCCATTACCATGTTCAGAAAAAAGATAAATTTCTGAAAAAATATGTTACAGGTGTATCCCAAGTCATGGACTGCAATTTACATGGCACTGGATAATGTGGGTATGTGGAATGTGAGGAGTGAATTTTGGGCACGACGATACCTTGGACAGCAATTTTATCTGCGAGTGTATTCGCCAGTTGGATCCGTCAGGGATGAATACCCAATTCCCAAAAAAGCTCTTCTTTGTGGCAAAGCAGCAGGAAGAACAAGTAGATGAGAATCAAATCAATCAATCTCAAACACCTATGATGTCTGTCAGTAGCCTAGTTATGCAGGGACTCTCTTGGTTTCATTCTTTGCAAATTTCTTCACCATTTCTTTGTATCGATGCTTTGGCACCATCCTGTATTGTAATAATTGAATTGTTACCATTGATTTATTTTTTAAACAAATAAATTTCTCACATGTATTGGTAAATTTCTTGTTTTAAATGCATAAATCAGTTTAATCTGCATGCACTCTCTGTGAAAATTTGAAGTTTCAGTGATTAGATTGAAGCGTTTTAGGGTTGTTCGCTAAGTATTACACGTTATTGATAACGACAGAGTTCTGCTAAAATTTCAGAATGTTCAAACACATTTTTTCATTAAGTATAATAAGCCCAAGCTCTAATAGAGTTTCACGGGTTGTTTCTCAGTGCACCTAATCTCAAAGGTTACGTTAAAGAAACGAATTTTAAAATAGGTTACTTCAACGAATTCTTCTGAAATTTATTAAAATATTTTTTAGATTTCGAAATATGTTAAATCTTTCGAAAAATCTTTTAATAGTTAAAACCTTTAAAAAAAATTCAACAAATTTCGAATTCCAAATTCCATTAAGAAAAAAAATCTTTTAGTGAATTTTAAAATTCTTTTATGTAACATCTCAAAATATAGCATAACAATATATCATAGATTAATCACATATAATAATAAGATAGAACAGTTCATCAAGAGTTAGTAGAGTATTTAACCTTACAGTTATCCAAAATAACTATAAAACTAAAAACTTTACATAACAACATAAGTCTGATACACAATATAGACATAAACCGAACGGTGATACAACAGTTTGTATAAACCGAACGACTTATAAAAGGTCAACTAAACCTATTGATCGAACTGTCAAATCTAAAACTATACTCAACTGATGACCGAACGGTCTTATCCTAAGCAACAGGATCCTCTCCTTCCAATGCTTGCTCCACCGAACACTCATCACCTTTTGCTCACATCCCAGGATGATCATTGCAAAAGAAAACATAATCGAACATACATAATAAGACAAAACAAGAAAGTAGGGTAAACTATTGTAATTTAATTATAAACACATATATGCATTTCATGCAAGTTCAATCTATATGAAACCGAACGGTACATCATACAACAATGAATACAATTCATCACATACAACCAAAACATCATCATTCATATAAATATATATATATATATATATATATATATATATATATATATAACCGAACACTATGACTTGACCATTCGGATTGTATGAATATGTAGTTACAGTCGTCCTTGCACTTGTGGTAGTGTAACAGCTGACACCAATCAAGCTACTGCCCAAGGTTAATCCCATACTACCTACCTCGGCACCCTGAGGCAGTAGGACCTCCTGCCATTCTCACTCATGAGTTACTCCTTTCTACTTGAGAATGAGTAAGTCACAAAATATCAGGATGAACGCCAGTTTAGCATATCCATATTCACGCTTTACAATTCTACAACCATCCATGAGACATTCCTCCTTGGAATTCTCTTCCACAATATTTGAAAGTATAAATCTTAAATTCTTAACATACACAATCATTCATCAATTAAATTTTCACATAATAAAGAGAAAACCTGTGAATGTTGGAGACCGAACACCTTCACACTTCCCAACCGAGAGTAAAATCGAACAGTTTATAAGAGACAAACAGAAGAAATGAACGAACACTATTACTGACCGCCCACTATAGAAAACTAACTATTAGGAACTTAGACCAAACTCGAAGACCTTACATCGAACACTCATAGCTCAAACAGAACTCTTAAAACTTAGACCGAATGTTATCCTAAACTGTGCACTTGGATTATACTGGATACTAGTTTAATATCGAAAACTGTGACTAAACCGAACGACCATGATTAGATAATACTTTCACTAGACCGAACCCAGTTAATGACCGAGTATGGAACACGACCGAACGGTCAACAATAACAGTTCGATTTTATACATGATTTTGTAACGCTTCTATTGAGTGCTGAATGACACTCCCTAAACCAAAACAAGATATTTTTCTGAACTTCTAAAACTCTAAACTTGATTAATAATGTCTATTAAATCTATCCCACTGAACCCATTTAACTCCACTCACATTTCCCATCCTCTCTTATACAACCAAAAAAGACCGAACGATATTCATCAGAAAACTCCAACCCAGTTCACAGGTCTCGGCCAAACACAAAATTTGAATACAAATTTAAATGAAACATATCATCATTCATACATGCAAGCATTCAACCAGAAATTCCAAACACATAAAAGCATAATTAACTTACTAGCTTCCCTTACCTTGAATAAACTAGGAATTTCCTAAGCCTCCACCACTTTGAATAACCAACAATCACTTCTAAAGCAACCCACTACAATTTCGATTGGTGAAAAGGGACCAACCAGAGGATCAAAACAGAAACAAGTTTAGAGAAAGATCAATGAGGAACACATGCAAGCTGAACAGTATTTGCATGTATCAGAAAAACGCAGAACTTTAAAGAATGAGTGATTTTTAACTTACCAACTTCACATAGCAGCTGGATTGATGGAAATAAAACTCTTGCCACCAAGAAAGAGATCAAACACGTCCTAGATGATGATCAGAATAAGAAAAAGGTGAGGATTTTTAGAGAGAAGGAGGAGAATTGTAGAGAGAAGGAGGAGAAACTCAGAAATCTGGAGAGAAGAGGTGCATGCAAAAGTGGCTCAATGTTTGAAAATTTTGCTTATATACTACCGTCAAAACCGATCGGTCAATCCGCTACACCCATCTGTCCTCCACTTTCTTAATTTTCTAAACCCTCACACTAACACCTGGATTCCACTCAGCATGGATTTTAATGGTTCTGACATTTTCAATTCGAAATTCATTAAAACTTTGAAAAATCATTAAATGAATTTTAAAATTTATGGAAGAAATAATCTTTTAACAAATTTTAAAATTCGTTAAAATACAAAAAAAAATGGATGTAGGGTTTTTTGAATTGGAAAAGATAGTTTTAAAATTTTTAAAAAATTTGGAAATCAAGGAGAAATGGTTGAAGGTGCATATAGAAAAAGCAGTTGCAGGAAGAAAATACTCTCCTAAGCCCACGAAACCCAAGCCCAAATTATGATGCAAAAGAAGAGCTTTAGTCATGTAGCCTATAATAATAATAAAAAAAAAAAAGAACAGCCCATTTTATTAGGGTTTACTATTTCCTCGAAAGTGCTTTTTGTATAAAAGACTTCGTGTGTGCGTTTATTGGAATTTGAAGTTTGTGAAACTGAGAAATACACTTTCCAATACTAAAAAACCGAAAAACCAGACCTCGTTGCTATTTGTCAGACATTTTTAGAAAAGTAATTGAATAGTACATTATTTATTTTCAAAAAATTACTTTAAACTGATGGGTATATTTTTAGTAAAAAATAATAAATATTTAAGCGGTAAATTTTCTTTTTTCTAATATGATTTCTGAAGTATTCAAGAACAAAAAAAATCTAAAATTTGAATAATGATACGAATTTCTAGTCAAGTGATTATTTTTAATTAAATTAAATGAGTTTCTTAAAGAGTATAAACAAAAGGATCTTTTAAATAGGGAGTGATAAAACAAAAAAAATTTCTACTCTGTTTGTTTATCATTTTTGCTTCACAAAAAGTATTTATATAAGTTAAGATCAGACGAAAAAGAAAATAGCTAATCTCACAAAACAGCAGTTAATATTTTATAAAATTTTAAAAACAGATAAATAAAAATAACTTTTTCCTTATTTTTTATGACGATCTGGAAATTGGTCTTTGTAATTTACGTGATCCTATTTTGGCTTCCATTCACGAATTTGTGTCCAATATTTGAAAATTATAGCAACTTAATCGAAGTAACACTCACGATTATTCAGTATGGTCCATGGAGTGATAAACTATGTAAAAAAGAAGCTTAAGTGATTTTGGCTTGAAAATACGGAACTATGCGTACACGTTATCTATATAAATTATTGTTTCAAACTGGCCATGTTCAAATTTTATTGAACTTAATCTCTCAAATTCACTTTGTAATAATGCGTAGGCTGTACACAATAATGTCTATGCATTATTTGGGAGTTTTAGAGTACATAAGAATTCAAATTTTAAGTTGTTTAGGACATCTCTTCATATTTCATTTATTTGTTTGATCATTCAACATTGTCCAGATCGACACGTAATGTTTTAGGACAACCTTGACATTGAAATCAGTATACATGTTTCAGATCATAGAATAATAAATCTATATTGAATTATAAATCTAAGAAATGTAATATTTTGAAATTTTGGTCAAATTTAAATAAATATAAAATCTAAAAATTAAAATACGATTGAAATAATATTTATAAACATATTTGAATAACTACAGTTATAGATCTATTAGATTAAAGACTTAATGGTTAATTACATGTGGAAAACTACAATTATTTTTTACTAGATTATCTAATATGAAAATATCTTTGACAGATATACTTTAGTAATACAACTGTGAATATCCGATTTGATAATCCATCCTCAGAGAGTATTTGGTGGTGATCCTAGCAGTTACACTAACTTCATATTATATGATAAACGATATCACATTATTATCTTAAATAATTTATTTAAAAACTGTGGAGAGATTTTCGGACACATACATTTCAAGTACACATGTTTCATGTTATAGAAGGAAGTAGGTTCCACGAGTGTGGGCGTGGACTGAAATCAACGGCTACCAACTGAGTAGGAAGAAAGTAAATGAAAAAGGTAGTCACTCACCACCCTCTGATGATTTCCGTGACGCAAAAGATTTGTTCTGCATCAGGTTACGACGACGCGTGATTGGGTTTCCTCTTCTGCACCAAACACACTACCGCACTGTACAACAGTGGCACCACCCACAAAAAAAAACTATGTTTAATAATGTAACAAAACAAACAAACAAAAGTTAACGTGATCAAAACCGGAATACTTTGGCTACACACTATGTCAGAATTGTCTGCGCCATGCCATGTTTTTACCATGGACCCTTTTTACATCGGGACCCACCATCAAGAGGTTAAAATATTGCGACATGATATGGTTGTTGAATTGAAGATGAGATTGCGCACAGATTAACATTGCCCACACATATCCCGATGCGTAGATAACCGCCGTTTGGTAAG